TATCGGACCCAGGTTACGGTGACGACGACGGACTACATACTAACCAACACGAGTCCATCTTCCGTTTACACCATCACTGTACACGCTACTGACCAGAGTAGCAAGCCTTTCAATGCTGCAGCATCCATTACCGTAAAGATGAGGGTCAGCGGTAAGTTCACATTATCCGAACTCCATTTTCTCGGTAATAAGTCAGTATTTTAAAGTTTCAGGTAGTGTTGGCTGACATGCGGCACGGCTGACTGTCTTTCCACTTTTCCCCACAGATGATCAGCTCTTGAAGTGCTTAAAACCTTCGGGTTGTCTGTCGTCAAATATGCCAGTTTGAGCGCGCTGCGCTTACTCCAATTAGTATTTGCTTGCAATTTTGCCAAGATAGAACGTCAACTGAATTTAGGAATTGCGTAGACGCTCCCTCACCCTCCCTTACTGTTTTTCGCAGATTATCCAAGAATGTTTACGTTGATGCCTTACAGTTGTAGCAGATGGAACGCGACAGTTGCATATGAATGCAAAATTAGAGAGTACCTTACCAACAGTAGGTGTCTACATGAACTGCTGTCCTCTGAATGGACTCTGCTCTTACGAAATAATAGCCTGCTTTTATTCATGAGGCTGTTGGGACGTGATAGAATTTACACGATTTATTTATCTTTTGTCTACAGAAGAGCCGGTGCCAAGAAATCTGACGGCTACTGTTGTGGGTTCTACGAGCGTTCGTGTGGCTTGGAAGCCTCCAAAGGATATAGAACAAATCGGGTCCAAGTATCTGATCGTTGTGCGCAATGCAACATGCATGGTCAAGGTTATGGTGATGAAGACGGAGTACATCCTAACCAACATGAATCCATCTTCCACTTACATTGTCACTATACACGCTACTGACCAGCTAGAAATGCCGTTCCGCGCTGCAGCATCAATTTCAGTCAAGATGACAATCACCGGTAAATCACTTCTATCATCTATGCCGTATTACAGCCTTGCTTATGGGCATGTATTTTCACTTGCCCAACGAAGAGTTGTTCCAGATGAGGAAGCACTTATTTGCATTCCAGTCTGCACGTATGAGTGCCCACTATACTATGCAACGTTTGGAAGTACATTGTATCACATGAAATAATGTCAGACCAGCATGAAATAAGCTGTCAGGGCTCACTTGATACCAATCATTTCGAGAATTTTTTCATTAACAAATTCCTTCGGTTTGGTGTTGGCCACCCCACAGTAACATGTTCTCGTGTAGCATTGAAGGCCCATTCGAACGTAGTCTGTTAGGCTACTCGTATGCTCTTAGAATTATAGTCTACCACAGGACAAGGTATCAATTGCATCTACATTGTATTACATTAAACAATGCCTGGCCAGCATAAAATGACTTGTCGGACGTCAATTGATATTCCTAATGACTCTTTCCTATTTTGTCTGCAGTGGTGAATGTTGTGGGTGATTTGACTGCCTCACAAGTGAACGACACCACTATCCGGGTGTCCTGGACCAAACCAAGTCCTGCCGATAACTACAGAGACGAGTACCACATAACCGTCTACGGTGAAGGCTATAAGAAGACCTATACAACGAAGGAGACCTGGATCATTGCTGGCGGTCTGGATACCTCCTCAGTTTTCAACATCACCGTGCAGGGTGTTTGGTCAAATGGCACAGTTGTTCCCAATGTCGCAACCACTCACCTCCGAAAACCTTCCCTTGGTAATTGCTGATTCATCTGTATCTAGCCTCATCTGTTTTTGCTGAATTTGATACGAAACTGCATGAATGTCACTGCGTTACTGTCGTTCTTATCAAATCACACCTGATCGAAAACCTATTTAATGTGAGGCATCGCAGCATGTTAATTGTGTCAGGGGTAGCCGACTGCTTGAACAATATACATACAGGCTCTATTTCACAGCAGATGAAATATGTGATGTGAGCTTCCTTTACATTTATTTAGACTCCCCAATTTTCACGTGTTTTACGTCAATTTTGGCATTCAGACGCGAACAACTGAGGTTTGCCAGTCAACGTCACCGAATCCCCGCATTTACGCCATATTTGTAAGCTGTTAAAGGAAGGATACGCTCTGTTATCAGGGGAACTGTGACTGTCGGGTGGAAGGTAAGGCTAAATTGCTGGTCTCCGGTTATGGTAAAGGTCACCGTAAGGGGCAAAATTAAACCGCTCTTCTCCGACTTAACATGTGAACTGCAGTTACACTGCTTAAGGAGTGACAAACTGACCGTTCCTGAGACTCTAACTTTCGATTATTGGCTCAACCATTACAACCATCCACTCGCCAGTGCTTTCTTTTCACGATTGAAATCAGTTAAGTTGCCTGCCAAAGTAGAGCCCTCTATATAGAAATGGCATCTCGGGCTATGGGGTTCTGTACCATTGAATGGCATCAGCAAGGTAGCTGTCCGAAATCCAGTAGCAGTTCTTTCACAAACGTGTGTGTGTGAGGTTTGACCTTAGCAAATAACGAAATTTATTGACCGGTGTTCACATTCTGACGCCTTATGTACCTTTTTTCAGGGGACCTGCTGGTGCCAAGAGATTTCACCGGTGCGCTCCTGAATTGCACAACTGTCCGTCTGAGTTGGAAGGCCCCAATTACTTCACAGCCATGGGGAGACCAGTATCTGCTCGTTGTCTACAATAACACCTACAACAAGAGTTATAAGCTGGAGCAGACTGAGAAGATAATAACCGACCTGCAGCCATCTTCCATCTACAATTTCACTCTTCAGGCAGTTGACAAGAATGGCAAGCCTTTCCGCCCTCTAGCATTCATGTCAGCTCAAACATCATACTGTGGTAAGTTGCAGTTAACACCCATGTACCAATATGCGCTCCAGGCAGTGTTGTCTGGCTGGGACGCGGCACCATTAGTCTGCATGCCAATTTGTATTAACACCCCCCTCCCCCTCCCTTCCTCCCCGACAATTTGACCGATGATTTTGACAATGCCCACGGCGTGAAGGCAAACGCGGTGACTTGAAAATGAAAAAAGTTGTCATACTGACGGCAAAAGCTCCACCTGAAATCTCATTTAAGCTTATATAAACGAATACTGAAGATGCCTGAAGGAGATGCGAAAGGTTCGGTTCACTGTAAAGACATCCAGCGTACCCCAGGTGAACACCAGATTTCAGGCTCCCAATTGTCAACTAGAATACTCTGCATTAATTATGCAAGTGTTCAGAGCAATTCCTGAAAATCTGATCTTGATGAAAACATGTATGTTAAACGTCCTGTGAACTGCGGTTTATGTACCCTTGCAGATGTGCCCATGCCAATGCAAGTCACTGCCATGATTCTGAATTCTAACACAATCCGTGTGAAATGGATGGCCCCAACTACTTCACAGCCATGGGGAAACAGGTACCTGCTGACTATCAACAATAACACCTACACCAAGAGCTATAAGGTGTTGACCACAGAGGCGACAATATCCAACCTGCAGCCATCTTCCGTTTACAATTTCACTCTCCAGACTCTTGACACGAGTGACAAGCCGTTCCCCGCTAAAGTATTTGGTTCCGTACAAATGCCAGCCAGTGGTAAGTTGTAATTAACACTACTTTGCAAATTATTTACTGTATTCCTGCTAGACCCAGTTTTGTCTGGGAGGCGGCACCACTAATGTTTCGTGCTGGTCTTTTTTCTTTCGCCTAGATACCCTCGTAGTTTGAAAACCATGTGAAACGAACAATAGTTCGCGCTGATTTGGGTTTACTGTGTAGAAACTGCTTAAATAGGTATGAGAACAGATGCGCATATTTGTGCTTCATAGATTGTCTTCAATCTCAACGAGCTAGCACGCACCAAAAATGGATGAACTGCTCGCAATTTTGCAGCATATAAATATAATAGGGATGTTGGATAAGGCTATCTGGTTATTCACGTACGCTCTCCTTTGGAGTTGAAGAAACCCACCTTACTAAATGCCAAGCGAGTCGCATGTATTCGAATGCAGCTTAATGAGGTAAGTTTAGGACACTGAGAAGGAGATTGGTAGGGGCAAAGTGCCATGAAGTTTTCGCCTTATATTTGGTAGGAACTGTCGGCCGACGTTCAAAATTCGACCGCTTTTTGCAGGCGTGATGTCATGTACTCATTTTCACAGTATGTCAGTGATTATGATGCTGCTTTACGCGTTGTGCTAAGTACTTACATTTTTATCAAAAACTACCTTTTCTCTGCAGCCGTGCCAGTGCCAGAAAAAGTTACTGCTTCGATTATGGACGGCAAAAATCTTCGTGTGAGGTGGCAGCCTCCAACAAATTCGAGTAAATGCGGGGACAAGTATCAGGTCATCGTCCGCAATAAAACATATCAGGACAAGAAAATGGTGACGAAGCCGGAATACATAATATCCAACCTGAACCCATCCTCGTTTTACAATGTCACTGTGCAGGCTACTGACAAGGCTGGAAATCCTTTCCCCGCCTCAGCATCCATTACCGTCAAATTGTCAGCAAACGGTACATTGCAATTTTCACACGCGCCTTACTCCGCTTTTGCTAATAAGTGACATTTTCACGCTCCAGGTAGTGTTGGAATTTTGAAAAAAGAATAAATTTTATTTTGTCATGTGCGAGAGCAGATCGCGCTACCCTCATCAGAATATGTAATCATTTCGATTTTCAATGAGACAGAACTTCAAACGAACCGAGAATTTATTGCAACACGCAAATGTCCCAAGACTTGCTGTTTAGATACGCTAATAGGAGAAAAATAGTCACAGTTAAAACGAAATCATCGCCACCAAAAGTTGGAAATGAACAATGTATCCTTAAGCGGACATGGAGATAGGTATATGAAGCCCAAAAGAGTAAATCGGTTGGATGCAGAGCTGTATGTGTTACTGATTAGCCTCCACCAATCCCCGGTAGATGACGGGTGTGCATTCAAAGGCTTTCTGGATTATCATTAGTCTTGAAAATTGAGCCTTCTGGCTTTAGGTCATGCACTCATTTTTACAGCATGTCAGTGATGTTGATGCTGCTTTACGTGTTGTGCGAATCACTTTCATTTTTATCAAAAACTGTCGGTCAGTATTCAAAGCGTGATGCTTTATTTATCTTTTCTCTGCAGCCGTGCCAGTGCCAAGAGACACGACTGCTACAATTGTGAATTCAAACACCCTCCGTTTGTCCTGGAAGGCGCCAAGCGTTGCACTGCCATGGA